GTGTTTTTAATATGGACTTTTTTGAAAGAAGCCTTTTAAATGAGTGCAAACCCTAATCCAATGAATGTAGTAGTGTATGTTTTCATTTCAGTACACCTGCTGCAGTTTAGCTTGTGGGTGACGTAAAGGAACAGAAGCAGCCTCAGCTCTTTTACTAACTTCTCTTTAGCCACAGTGATTTTTTCTAAGCACTTCATCTCTACAGAACATTTGACTGAGGTTTTGATATCCATCTGGAGAAACAATTTCTTTAGAAGAAAGAATGCTGTATATTGACCCTGTGCAGAGCTGTCTAGTTTTGAATGAAGGCCTTCTGCAAATCTCCCTGTGTTTGCTCACACACGTCCCCACACCGGCTGCACGACTACAGGGCTGTTGTGGATCACTGGCTATTGCAGTAGCAGGACTGAGAATATTAGTTTGCACCTAACATGTTTTGTGCTTTTAGCTAGGACAAGGGTCAAACAGCAGAGGCATGGTAGGGTAAAAAGGCAGCTGTAACATCCAAAGACATGCCAGACCTGTGTTCAGAGACAAGAAAGAGTCGTGGGGATCCTGCTAAGGCAATAAAAACACTCAGTGACAATGGGGAAGGTGCAGTTGGGAGATGTCCCAGCTTCGGCATCTCACACGTCTCAAGGGTGAGGGAGCAGTAGGTGTTGGCAGTTCCCTCTCCACCTCTACAATCAGCTGCTGAGAGAGGGAGGACAGGAACAGTTCCAGCATTGCTCTGTTATGCATTCAGAGCATTTTCCCTGAGGCAGGGAGGAGCTGCTTGCTCACTCGGTGCCCTGTGCTCTGCCCAGCACAGCTGGAGCAACCCTGTTGATGCTGGCAGCACTGTATTTCCTAGATGTGACCTCCACACCTTCCAGGAACAGAATTCTAAAGGGAGCTTCTGTACCTAATTTCCAGATTTCAAAAGTTGTTCTGCACCTTACTGTGTTTAGAAACTGAAGCTGTAGACAAGTCCTGCAGGTCAGTCATGGGCATGTGCACTTGTGTGTGGTTATTCTGTCTGCCTGTCCTTCCCTTCCATCTTCAACTCAGGGTGAAAGACACTTGGCTCAGAGGCTGGCAGCTGACCAGGTGATGTGTACCAGTGCCAGCAGAGGACTGCTGTGGCAAAGTAACACGCCAAAGGTCACACTCTGGTAGGTTGGTGGCAGAGCTAGCCCTAAGCTATCAGTTTCAGGACCATCTCAGCTGTCTGAGACTGAATGTTATCTGCAGCCTTCCCTCGAGTGAGTTGTTTTAGCTGCCATTTAGCTTAGAAACATAAAGCTCCTTCCTCGACTCAGAAAAGTCTTTCTGACAACACTTGAGACAGTTTTTGAACCTTGTTTATAGAAAATTACAAAGATATCCAAAGGAGGAATGGAGAGAGTCTTCAGATTCTGGGAGGAGCCTACTCTTATCTGCAGAATTAAAACCCACAGTCCTGACTGGCTTAATGGATACCTTACATCTATAATAATTCTTTCAAGATACACCAGCTAACCCATGTGATTTCAGCAGCCATGGCTCCAGCATCTGGCTGTGTTTTGACGTTTCGAAGATGTAGAGGTATTGTGTGGAATTGCAATGTTTTTGCTCAAACGTCAGTGATAATATTCCTGGCATGCTCTAGCAGTGGATATTCCTGTGCCTCGGTACCTCATTATCTGCAGATGCCATAATGAGAATATGAACGCTGTCAATCACTTTGAGACACTTGTAAAAGCAGTAACACAGAAAAGCTTTCCTTGATTTTTTTCTTACTTCCCTGTGTTGGTTGGCTGGGAAAATCATGGGGATGTAAGGAACTGGGACTTTGTTTGGCCTGTTCTTAAACTTGGATCTGTCAGGTCTCAGGCCACTCTCCTCGAATATGTCCAGTTGATCCTTCCTTCAGAGGGATCAACTGACAAACAGGGAACTCTCCTGGAGTCTTTCAGACAGCTGTTACCTGTAAGACAGGTTGTGGGGGACTTCCAGTGGTTCATCCCAGATATGACCACTGATGCCAGATAATTCTTAATTATAGCATTAAGATTGATGGACTCTCCCTTCTGTTTACTTCAGATTACATAGGCAGCTCAAGTTCAAAGCAGAAAAATCATACTTTCTAACCCAACAGTATTCAAAAAGCTTGAGGAGAACAGGCTATCCCTGGAAACCATCTTTTCATTCAGAAGGGCTTTCCCAAGCTACATGTGTGAAGGTTTTTAATAAGTGTTATGAAATCCCTACAGATGTAGATACAAAACATCTGCAATAGTTGACAGCTTCACAGATTTACTGAAGTTATTTCTGAAAGGCATATTCTGTAAGTAAACATCTTGCAGTTCCTAATTATCAAAAGGGGAAATAGTTTGACTAGTCTCTCCTTATTTTTTGCTCATTTCAGTTTGACATCCATGGAATATTGGGTAGATAATATTAATCTTCCTTGACTTTGATGTCTAAAAGTTAGACAATTAAGTCTGAGCTAGTTACCCTTTAAAGTCAGTGGAGTGAAACAGGGCAGTTTGTGCTAAGACAGAGTCTTAGCATTGGTCAAATGAATTGGATTTATAGTCTCCACTGATTATAAAAAAGTATGTAACTTAGCGACTAGTACCGGCTCCATACCTGACTTCACATATTTAATGCTGGCTGAGAATGATTCCACCCATCACTGGCCAAAATATTGCTCCATGCACTTGTGTTTCCTACACATCTGGCAAAGAGCCTGCAGAGGCTGAGGTGGCTCTCTGGGGGTGCTGACCAGGGTGTGACCTCACCTGGTTATATTGCAAACCAACCCAGCAAAAATCTCTTTTCACCTCAGCAGTGCCCTGGAGCCCCTGATGACGTACTGTGTGCTGGGGGGGGCTGTGAGAACTGTGGTAAATCAGGTGTAGGGAAGCCTCTCTGTTTCCCTGAGGAAGGATCACTGCATCCTTGGCCAAATGGGGTCCCAACTTTGGGTCTACTCCGCTTGTGAAGGGCGAGATGAGAGCCAAAGAGTTTTATGGAGAGGACACAGCCATTTCTGGAACCTGCTTGTGTATTCTTCTCCTCTCTTTTAGTTAATAAATAAATGAATTCAATGCTGATTTTGCACTGCCCTTTTGAGAAGGCAGGATAAAGAGTAATCATGGATGGGTTGGTGGAAGGCTGAGAGTGGCTTAGGATTTGCAGATGATGAGGAAGGTGCCCACAGGTGGGAGGTGACACAACTGGGTAGCAGAGCAGAAGTTTTGGGCTCCATTGCTGGTGCATCCCTGGCCACCTGGGCAGCTTCTGGTTTTATCATTGCACCCCCTGGACTTGAAAACTGTTTGGACTTTCATTCTGGACCTATTTGAACCTCTTTGTATTTTGCATCACTTTTGCTACAAGTCTTTTGAGTGTAGCTCCTCACATCCTTCCCTCACATTTAACATAAACATAATTTAGCATAAAGGTGAACCCGATCTTATCATTTCATCAGGGCTCTACACTGAAATTTAAACTTGATGTGTGTTTTCGCTGAATTCATTTTACCTGTATAATCTCCCATTAGAATGGTATTGCCTTCCAGAGGGTCACTGCAGACTTACACTGAGATCATTTTGTCACTGGAAGCTTGTGTGGTAATGGGATTACCATAGGCATGTTTTGAAATTGTTCTAATATTGCTGTGAGGATGTTAAGTCTCTGTGCAAGAGTTTGCCTTGCTAAGAGTAGCACAAACCAAGCTAGAAAACCTGAGAAATGTAAATGTGTTACAGAAAGGAATGCACTTGACATATCTTGCTCATGAAAAGAAGCCATTTGTGTTTCTAGAAGTTTTGCAACAGGCATAAAAGTAAATTTGCAATACGTGATAGAAATTAAATATTTATTACAGGTCAGATTTACATATATACATAAAAATACATACACAAAAATGCAAATGCAGTTAGTATCAGTGTCTATAGAAGCAAATGCTGATATCAATACCTAATTAAACAGCTGCATGTGGCACCGTGTTTCATCAGAGCAACAGTGGTGTCTCTCTGGTGAGGCTGACCAGTTAGAATAACAGAATCATTTAGGTTGGAAAAGGCCTCCAAGATCATTTAGTCCAACCTTTGACTGATCCCCACCTTGTCAACCAGACCAGAGCATTGAGTGCCACCTCCAGTTGTTTCCTGAACTCCTCCAGGAATGGTGACTCCACTACCTCCCTGAGCAGCCTGTTCCAATCTTTAAACACCTTTTCAATGAAGAAATTCTTCCTGATGTCCAACCTGAACCTCCCCTAAAATTGTGTCATTTTTTTTAATTGTTGAGTAAAAACATCCCACTACTATCATTACAATAAGTATCCTGGTATATTTATAGTCATGTATGTTTTTTTGTTTGAAATGCTGATAACTATTATATGCAGAAGTTCTGATCAAATATAAAGTGAACGAACCCATAAAATTAATGTCATGGAAATAAAGAATTATTACAGTGTACTCAAATTTTAAACAAGTAATGGGAAGTATTTAATTTCTGCTTATCATTTGTGATGCTCTTTGTGCTCTTAAGGCCTATTTAATTAAAAAAGAGCTTGTGTCTCCTTTTGGGAAAATAACTCCACCCAGAGAGGTGTATTATATTCTATTCTAGTTCTGTCAGCTCCTTGTTTTATTTTTTTTTCCTTTTGATTACAGGGCATATTTGCAATGTGATGTAGTGTAGCAGTATTATTTAAAATATGACTATTAAGCTTACCTACCATTCTGAAAGCTAGGCAAACCTCAGATCATCCTGAATGTTTCCCCATCCAAACCTTAGCAGTGACAGATTAGCTTAGCAAAGGACCTTGCCTGGCCGTCCCAGCTGGCTTCTGTACTCATTTCAAAAATACGTTTTCATCAAAAGCTCTTCAGCTGACAGCTGAGTTGGGGGGCAAATAAAACAGTAAAACTCCTGGCAATTTAATTTTTCAATGAAAGCTTTGACAAAAAAAAAAAAAGTTCATCGTTAAATTCTGCTCATCTTCAGCGTTTTTTTCTTAGCAGCTTTTAAAGGAACCTTCAGCTTTTACTACCAATTCCAGCTCAGAAACGACCAACTCTTCAGAGAGCTCAAAGGAATTCTCAGCTGGCCCTGAGGACACTCCAGCCTACCATGGTGGTTTAAGGTGGGTCATCACAGCTTGAGATACATCTGGGATGTCCATGCACAGGGATGGTGAGTCAGTGGCTGGAGTTGTGGCACAAGGGCTCTGAGCTGCAGGCACTTTAAAACCAATGCTGCCAAGGGCTGCAGTCATTAAATCATGGAATAATTTGGGGGGACCTCTGGATATCATCTACTCCAACCCTTTGCACAAAGCTGTGTTAAAATTGTAAAATACCTTCATCACTTTATTTATGATCTGATCTAATTTCAAAATTATCTCACCTTTCATTCAAGGGTATAATTGCACTTTTGAAAATGAAGTTTTGTACTAGGTTTGCAAAAGGGCAAGCTGAGGTAACCCACTGCAGAGCTGCTGGCCAGATCCACAGATTCCCCACCCTGTCTCTCAGCTTTGTGCTCTCCTGCTAGGAATGCTGCCTGTCTACAGGACAATTGGTTATTATTTACATGGAGGCACGAGATCCTTGTAATAAAATGCCCATCAAAGCACCAAAACAGTGATCAGTGTGGGCTCATTTTTTCTCTTGGTATCATTCAGAGTTGTATACAAGTGTTTCCCATGTTGACCCTTGCTGCAGAAATTAGAAGAGCTTAGTTATTAAAGCAATGTGGTTTGAAATTGCCTTGGTAGTTGTTAAGCACATCTGTGATTACATCAACTTAGCTTTACCTAAAAACATGAAGCTTTGAGTGAAATATTAGAGAATCGAGGAAAAATAAGGCTTTTATGTGTGAATGACATATGCTGGACAGCCAAAATAAAAAAGCCTGCATGTGGTTATGTTCTGGGCTCCCTTTTATTCTGCAGCTCTGTGTGTACTGGATCAAGGTCTACAGTTGCTGACCACTGCTTTGATTATCTCACTGTAGCACATAATGCTTTGTACCCGGAGAATGTATTCCAGCAAGCTCCTAAATTGTATTTGGACAAAGAATAATTGAACACTGGACAGAATAACAAATGCTATGGTCAAGTTTGCTTCATGGGTTTATCGTGTTGTATTAACATGATAGAAATATGAATACTTAAATCTTATCTCAGGTATAGTTTATAACTGCATTAATCATTTACCGTATTATATATTTTTCATGTCACTAAGATTGTGAGGAAAAGATTCAATTTTCCCAGTGCAGTCAGTTGAATGTGGTTTAGATAAGTTAAAGGCATTGCATTAAACTGTTTCAACATGGCTTTCTCTTATAGATCCTATAAAAGGATGGGGAACATATATCAAACAGTAATAACTTATATTTTACTTTTTTTTTTTTAAAGTCATATAGCAGTGCATTTTCCATTTTCATTAAAATCAGATAAATGAAGTTACTAAGTTTGCCACTTACAGGTAAATGTATTCAAATTGATACAGGAATTTTTACCTACTATATTTGCTTTAAATTGTTAAGGGGAAATGCTCGCCTATCAATTAAAGTAGCAGTTTGATAGACACTGAAATTATCCAGAGATATCACAAAGAGCAACAACAAATACCTTCAGTACATTTTCCTTATGTTTACTGGTGACGTGGAATATGAACCTTCCAAATAAGAGTGTGACTCACCAGCACACATTTGTGAGATTTCAGCACACCACAAAGCATTCCCACATTTTACTCCACATAAAAAGGGAATATGTACCAGCATATGCATTATGCACTGCTAACTGCCTTTTCAGATCATTATATGAACATTGCACATTCATTGCCCATGAATTATACGCAGATTCTAATTTGCAAGAGAGATTCTGATTCATTTCCTCAAAATCAAGAGGTGGCCAAAGGAAAAAGAGAGGATGAAGAGGCGAGGGATGGTGGGGAGGCTGCAGGTGCACTGACCTCTGCATGGAAAGCCACAAGTGGAATAGGCAGCACTATGTGTGTGTGTCTGTAGGAACCCCTCATGAGTCTGAAGGTGTTTGGGACAGATAAATATTAAGCACTTAAGTCTTTTTGGGGTGCTTCTTATTCCCACACTGATATTTGGCCCTGGGGCTTCCACCCTGAGCAGCTCCGTGGGGAAAGGGGCAGGGGGTCCTGTCTGCCAGGCTTGGGGTGAGGTTCTGCACCATGTCTGGGACCCCCAAGTGCAATAGGCACACTGAGGAGGGCACAGGCACTGGCAGGGTGCAGGTATGGGGGGTCCTGCACAGGCTGGGGGGTTCGTAGTCATGGCACAGGATTACTGTGACTGGAGATGAATTCATTGCATTTCAGCAAACTTTCACAATTGCTCATAGCCATGTTTTGGAAAGTCCCATCTAATACAAAAAAAAAGAGAGGAAAAAAAAAGACAATTACACTGCTCTAGCTGTCAAGCTTTGCCATCATTCATTATTATTGCTTTTCAAAAGTTTTGTGCCTGGGAAACCAATTGAAATACCAGGGTCCTTATGCCGTGACAGTTCTTTTGCTACAAAATTCCCCACAATCATTTATATCTATCTGATGCACTTCAACATCATGCTCTATCTGCTTTATGACTGTAAAAAATAAGTAGGATATTTTAAATATATTGTACAACAATAACAACTTATTTTCTGGTCAGATTTTTCTCTAATTGAGAGCAGCTGAAAAAATCTTAAAGAAGTTGTACAATATGGAAGATTCCTTGCTATGGAGGATTTATATGCCTAGACTGTAAGTGGTGAGTGAAGTTTTTGCCAGCACTCAATTAGTAGTTTCTATGTCATTACTGGATTTTTAGAGAGTTTTCCTTAAACTGCTTTGAATTACAGTGTCACAAAATGCTAAATCAATTACATGTGTGTCCTTGTAGCTACCCCATAAGGATACCTGCCATGATTTTTTAATGGCACTTTTAGGCTTCTTGTTTACTTCCATGAAGTGATGTAAAGGTCATAACACAGTGCAACTTATTTCTTAAAGTTTAGAAAAAAATCAAAACAGCAGGCCATAGAATAGAAAGGTGAGATTCAAAGACACAAATCACTTCACAGTCACAAAAATTGCCAAAAAATAGCAGCTTGCAGCTGTGCACAGCAGGGACAGAAAACATTAAACACATGTTAAATAACAAATAGGAGACTTAAATATAGCTAAAAGTGGACCTTATTCTGAATAAATCATGTAAACTGCATCTTAATGGTTCTAAGGAATGTAATGGATCATGTGAAATATGCTAAATTTATATTGTTAAAAAATCAATAGTTAAACCCCTCCCTTTCAAAAAGGGGACCATTGAGTCCATGAGTAAATATTTTGTCTTTCATTTTCTTTCTTTATGTACAGCTGGATTTGTGAGAATTCATTTCAGTTAAGGGCAAAGCAGGACTTGCATTCAAAGCAGTTTGGGTTTTGGGTATGAAACTATTTAACATTCTCTTTACAGAGGCTGGACTTTTAATGAAATTGTCCTTTTTCCCTTTCTTCTGTTACAAATGCAAAGAATGTGGATTATCCCATTTTTTTATATACTCCTGGTAAAGTGTTTGAATTGGTCTATCCACCATCCTGCATTCATTTGTGGTGTCTGTGAAAGGGCAGCCATTGCTCAATGGGCATGGAGAGCCTCATCCTGCCTGGGAACGAGCGGGAGAGCGAGGGGGAGAGGAGGGGAAAGAAAGGCTCTCTTCTTTTTATGAGAAGCATGAAAAATAAATCACCAGTTTGAGTATTCAAATCAATCCTGCTGGCAACTATCTTTCCCTTGAAATGTTTGTTGCCTTCTATTTCTGCCTTCTGAATATTTTCAAGCCTTTCTGCTTGCCTTCCCCACCGAGGGTCACGTTTTAGTTTCCCTGTATATATTTTTCTTGAGATTAATGTACCTTAATGACATCATTGTGTGCGATGATGGGAAGGTCCCCAAGTTTGCTTTTCTTCCCATCTCAGTTGCACTTCTGAAGAAATCAGCTCCTGGGCTTTGATGTTTTTTCCTTTAGGGCTATCTTTCTTATAGGCAATATAGCTTACCTATACATTTAGCAACTCTGCAGCCTCTCATTAGATGCATTTTTGTCATCAATAATAAGTTCCCAAGGAGCCTAATGCAAGGGGTAACGGATACAGTGTGGAACGGAGCCATTGTTTGATAATGCAATATCTCTCATAACAATGTAAATAAGAGGCTGAATACATTTCAGGGTTCCTTTGTGTTCCACGTTATTAGATGGTGCTCTATTTCCAATCTGAATATTCATAATATGCTCCTAGAGTGCAGCATCGAAGTAAGTGGCTTTGAGGAAAAATTATTTTTTTTTTAAGTGGAAGGGGAAAAAAAAAAGAAATGAGGAGTGTTCTAATGAGGAACAGTTGAGTACTATGATTTAACATACTTCTGAGGTTTCTATCAGCCTGGAGCCGTTCTTTCTTGGCTTGTACACTGTGCATTTACATGGAGCTCTGTTTGGATGAGTGCCTTCCAAAGTACTAAATGCTCTAATGTACTGAAAAGCGATAAATATGGAAAATGCACACGCGCATACACACACACAAAGTGCAGACACATATGCGAACACATACACACACCTCCTCGCAGGCACACTCACCTGCCCCCACGCAGGTATTTGCACCACTTCTGTGGATAGATGGGGGACATTTCAAAGGCAAAAATAATAAAATTAAACATAGTTTATTTATTTATTACCTGGCATTGCATAATACCGATGTACTGCTTAAAGGGATGTGCTCCCAACCTTCAGCGTGGGCCAAAGAATAAGAATGGAAAAAGGGGAAGGAAGGCTAAGGGGAAAAACCCTCCATGGAATAAGACTCATGAGAGTGTTGTCCCTTCCTCCTCGTCCTGCCTGACCCCACTAACCTGAAACTGAGGCAAGGCTTAGGTTTAAGCAGCACAGGCTGTTTGTTGTTGGCTATGGGGCACTGTAAATGCAGACAATAAGCTCTGGACGCGTGTCACTGTTTACCAAAGGGCTCTCTGCAGTGACCCCATGAGCTAACGACAGTGTTGGGAGCAGAAATGGTAATTGTGATTTTTATAGCACAGTCTTTGCTAATTTCTCTCAGTTCATTCCTAAAAAAT